CTTAAATAGATGGATCTTAATTAGCCCATATAGTCTGTGCGATTGCTTATGCTTTCATCTCCCTCATGCTAATGATGTTGATCTTTCAGTTTAGTTATTTCAGGTTTGTGTACTGGTTGCAGTTTGGACTTTTACTGCAGTGCTGCAGCTCCGCCTGAATGTGAGAAAGTTTGCTGTTATGTGTTTACGTGGTTGTTTTTCTCTCATCATGCGGTGAAGAGAAGAATGCAGCTGGTTTACATAACATCGATCAGAGATACAGCCTGAAACTCAGGGGTGGTGACTGACCCTTGGTTCTGCAGTGAGCAAGAGGAAGGGAAGAGTGTCCTATACTGTGCTGCATTAAGCTTTCCAGCATAAACACTAAATGAATATCAGCTATTTAAAGTATTTTTCCACCACAGAGACTAGTGAACACTGTATATATTATAGTAATTAGAATAAGACACACGTAATTATGCCTATAATCAACAATAATAATTGTGGAGCTTCTAATATATGGTCATTATCCCTGCATTCAATCTGAGTGGCAGCATCTTAAGGGTAAACATAAAAAGGGTCCATCCAGAGGCAAGCACAGCTGTCTCATAAGTTTCCTTAGATTAGCCACATTTGAAGGAAGCATCATGTTATTCCTCAACTAAGGCAATTGGTGATTTGCACAAGATTGGTGCTATTCAGGGTGGGAGATGTAACAAAAATATCATATCACGATTCTTCAAGGCATTTCTATGATACGTGATATACACATCTGTTTCTGTGATACAAGATAATGTATACATTTGCGCACAAACTGCCGGGAATACAGTAGTGTTGCATTTGAAACAACTGTTATGAATAATAATAAATCTGTTTAGTGTTAATAAATGATAAATTATTAATATAATGATATTTTTTATATAAAATTCAAAAATAACCATTTTAAACATTATAAACCATTATAAATAATAAATTAAAAATATTTAACACTGAAAACTTACAATCTTATTTACAATTTTTGCTTCCATTCATTTTGTAATTATTATAATTTTTTAAATGTTTAAAAAAAAAAGATATCAGGATATCCATGATATCTCTGAAAAGAGTATTGTGAAATAATAATTTACTGTGACATCAATATTATATCATATCGTCCAGCCTTAGGTGCTATATAAATAAAAGTAACAATACTATATTATTACTGCACAAATAAGGAAGAGACTGTGACAGGCAATAAAGGAATACCACAGCATTTGTTTACTTAATCACAGACAAGTTTTCATACGATTCTCTGTACTGAGAAAAGATTGGAAAAAAAACTAGTTTACTCAAAAACTCACTTGTAATGGATACCGAAGGGCCGATGTAGAATTACATAATACATGTATTTAAAACATGTGACTATATTTCACAAATTCAGCACTCTAACAAGGTTTTAGGATCAGATACACATGAGGGAAAGTCTTGAGAGAGCTGTTTTATGGAGATTTGTCACACTGGAGCAAAACAGTGCAAACACAGAATAATGCAGTTTCTGTACTGTTACGTTTTATACAAATGAACAATTTTATACATGAATACTGTTTAAAATATATTAATAGATCAAAACCTATAAAGGTCTAAATCCTGGTGGTGAGCACAGAAAAAGCTGGAAAATACATCATGCTCGAAGGATGAAATATTCATGTATACAGAGCTGAGCCATTCTTTACCTTAACCTGTGGAAATAGCACGTGCACACACACACACACACACACACACAAACACTCACACACACACAGACTGTAATGGATTTCTAGTGTATTCAATGATATGAAGTAATTATTGGTGGGTATTAGCTCATGTATCATGTACAGAGTATGTGACCTTGGTGTGTGTGTTTGTGTGTGTATACGCATGCGCTCAATATGTGATAGTCACACCTCATTTATCATTGTCCAAGCCCCAGACAGAGTCTGATAATCTATTTATCTGCCCAAAACAACATGGTTATTTTTTCCCTTACCTTCTTGCCGAGTAAGTAAAAATGGAAAAAAGATAAAACAGGTAGATGTTTTGCTATAAAATACATTTCCCATGTAATGCACTTTTTAGAGCCAATGTTTAAAAAGAGATTGATGAAGAAGACATCACTATATAATAGTGATATGGATAATTATGCTTTTTTTCAAATTACTTTCACAGGTGTCTTATATTTTGGGCATGAACGTTTTAGGGTGATGATACAGTATGTAAGGCTACACAATACTGGCTAAAATAAGGATCGTGATTATTTGAAATTTGCTTGATATTGAAATCATATAGTAACAATTTTATAGCCAATTTAGGAACAAAATAGTTTTTCCTTTTACATTGTATATCTGCTCCTCAGTTGCATTGACTGGATCAGATGATAAATGTAAGCAAAATTAAACTTTATGAATGAATAAGAGAGTTAATCAAATCTGATCTGATGTTATTCATCAGATATCAAATGATATAATTCAATATAAATGTCTGTTCATTAAAAGTTTATTTCATTTGAATGCATTCTCTGGTTTACTTCATTTAAATGCGTCATCCTATGGCAATTGTATAGCTTCAGTCTTCCTGCGGTTCTCTTTACTTCTTTGTGAGTGTCTTACATAATCACAGGCCTTCAGGCTTCGTTCGGTATATAGAGTGCTGCTATAGTAACAGTTTCTCCAATACACTGTGTTCCTCTGCACTGTTCTCAGCTTGTCTTCTCAGTATTCAGCTGTGAATTTGAGGAGGAGGGTAGTGATGAAGATATGCGTGTGAGTCCAGCCTGTACCTCAGCTGTGCAGTCTTAGTGCTAATAAAAGTAAAGAGATGTACAGAGCAAGTGTATGGAGCTTTCAGAGAGCACTGAGAACCAGAGTCCTAGTTCTTTCCTTTTCAGTAATGACAAATCATATGCTACGACTACAAATCAGGAATGCAGGTTATATAACGTTACATAACTTGTAACCCAAGATATTTGGCCCAATCGGTATTGTTTCTTGAAAGGATAGTAAACGTCTGTGTGTTGATGGAATCGTAGTCGACCATATTCATATTTATTTATCAAGAAACCTGAACAAAATGACATCCTTACTTCCGACCCATTTGGCTTTTCTTCTCTGTGTGTCTGAGAGAAGGCACTGAGAGCATTGTGTTTCTGTAAGTATGAAATCATGAGCGGAGGAGAGGAAGTCAGGCCACTCTGATGGTACTTTAAAGACTTTACAGATCAGCAGTGCATCTTACATAACAGCGCTCTTGCCTACTCTTGCCTACTTGCCTGCTCCCCCTCCCTTCACTCGTTATCTCTCCATGTTTCTTTTTTGATCAGATTAAATACATTTTGCCATTTTAAGTTGTTCAGATTTTGGAAGCAAAACAAAACAGAACTTCATATAGCTGATGTTGCTTTTATCTGAGTAAATTTCACCCCTCATCATGATGGTCATTATGGCACCCTTCTGGTGCAGCTAATAGGCATCCAGGTTATGTGCCTCTAAAAGCATCAGACTCCTGTTAAACCATCAGGTGTTTAAAGTCAACAGACTAATGAGTAATTACACGGCCAGATGGACTTGTGCTTTCCCTCGCTTTCAGTAAAGGCTGAAAATGGTGTGGAGTTAACAGCACTTTGCCTCCATCCATTTTACGAGTGCAGTTTGGGTCCGGGTGCTGTTTGAGAAACGGCCAGATCAATCAGTGTCAATTAGTGGAGTGGCTATAAGCGGCCCCATCCTGAGAGCCAGACGCCAGCACTGCACTGAGCAGCAGGCAGCGCTATTAAACTCCAAAGAGCCTGAACACGCAGCGGGCCGCACTATTACACTAACACAGCAGCAGCATGAGGGGAGGTGAATATGAAACGTGCAGGGCTGCTGTGCCGAGCCACATGGTGCAGGTTTCTGTCGCTGGGTGAGCGTGTCCCTGGGTGTACAGCAGCAGAGCCTCCATTGGAGTCCTGCACTCGCAGCCTTTCATCTCGGCTCCAGCAGTTACAGCCAGTCGGCCTGTGTTCGGCTCATTGATCTGGAAAGCAGCAGGCAGGACGTTCTCTCTTATCCCAGCCACAATTTGGGCTCTGAACTGTAAGAGGCTAGCTTTAGTGAACTCTTCTGGTATTGATTAAAGGGAACCACACTGAGGGAGTGTGTGAGCATGTGTGTATAGGCAGAGCACACATGCACTCACACTGCCTTCGACTTCAGACCAAGGAAGTGGTCAAGTTGGAAAAAATCCATAATCATACAAGGATAAGAGAAAATGTCACAATGAAAGAAAGATGGGAAATGACAGAGAAGGTGGAGCTTGTGCTTGTGCACCAGAATCTAGGTGAGGTGTTGATCTTCACTCACTGTGTTCAAAGTCTCAGCAAGAGATCAGTCCTTCATAAAGAGATATCCACAGTCATGTCAAGATATTGCCAGTGCTTTGATTTGTTCACCAGCTTTACTCTTTTAAGCAAAAGTTGGGTTAAAATGCAGAGAGCTTCAGTAAAAGTCAGATGGTTAGAAAGTTTGCCAGAAGGTTCACAGGGTTAATACATCTGGTTGATACTAGAGATGTGTTTCAGGACTGGGTCCCGCATGACGCAACAAAAAAATCAGACGAGTGGAATGTTTTTTACTTTCATTCAGTCAGATATGAAGCTTGTGGGACAAACAAAGACCAAAAAACATGCTGCGTTGCATTTACGACATTTATTCTTTCATTCTTAGTAAATGCCTGGTCAGGGTCACCGTGGTTTAAGTTAGGGTACTTGTTGGTTACATTTTGGGAAATAGAACCAAATAAATTTGTTGGAAAATATCATTAGCAGGTGCCGACAAAGGTGGTTGTTGTTGTTGTTCGTTCGGCTGCTCCCGTTAGGGGTCGCCACAGTGGATCATTGGTACGCATATTTGATTTGGCACAGTTTTACGCCGGTTGCTCTTCCTGACGCAGCCCTCCCCAATTTTATCCGGGCTTGGAACCGGCACTGGGAGCGCACTGTCTTGTGCAACCACAGTGGCTAGGGTTGGTTCCCTGGCCGGGTATTGAATCTGGGTCGTGAGGGTGGGAGCACCGAGGCCTAACCACTAGTCCTCCAGGAACCGTAATTGGCAACAAAAGTAATGGATTAAAAAAAAGTGATGTAGCTGAGGTTGAGGAACTGTTAGAGCCAGACCTCACAGATCATGCTGACAGTGCTGACATTTCTACCTCTGGCTTTTTTCCACTGTTCCTGGGGGTATAGTGGTAGGGTTTATTTAAATTTAAAAAAAAGAAAAGAAAAAGAAGAGGAAGAAGAAAAAGAAAACCTTCCACTTTAGGCCATGCCCACTTCAGGGTTAAATTCGATTACGCATAGAGATATTTGGGGCACTAAACAGATGAATATGGTAGTGCATAACGAGCTGAAGATCCTTGTACAACACAATAATTTGACCATTTTTCAGATAAAAATGTATTTAAGTGTCTGATGCACATACACAAAATTACTTTAATTTTAATTAAAGTATCTTTTATCACAGCAGTAATGATTACATTTTGGTTACATTGATACGCTTTAATTCATGTTAATTATTGTAATTATGTATTTCTTATAGTTTGTTACTGATTTTCAAACTGAAGTTTTCCGGGAATCATCATTGGCAGCGAGTCTAATGTGCAGTGTCTGTGAATGGTCTGTGTTGGAGAGCAAAGCGCCGCCTCTCATTAACTGAACACTTTAATTGGGTTTAGTGTTGGAAGCCAGGAAGCTGTGTGACAGGTGCTGCATTGTGCTGAAGCAGATTTAATTACACTGCAATAAGCACATCAAACTGGAGCATCTCTGTAAGGTCTGTGAGGATTCTCAGACTGCTTCGATTCAGAAGGAAATTTATTGAAGATTGTCCTCTGATTATGTGCTGTCAGCATTGTGTGTTGAAAATGTTGTCACTTCACTATCGATGAAAATTTCCCATGTTGCAGTAAATGTTACTTTTTTTTAATTGGGTCACTTGTGTTTTTTTTTTAAATGTTTCTTTTCTTTTAAAAAAAAAAAAAAGCTAATGGTTTGCTGAGTGTTAATGTGCTTGGAATTGACCATGTGCTGCTATTAGCAAAGTGTTAGCGCTTAGCTCAGAGGTGATGGATGACTCACTCACGGGTTGTTACAGGCCCACGCTTGTTCTCCAGTTCCTCCACGCTTCTGTGCCTGCTACTGTCGCTCTCTCCTCCCACACACTCGCTTACGCACAGCTCTAGTGAACGGGGGAGTGGGAGGGGGAAAGAGTGATCACGATGATAAAACGCTGGCCTGCTCTACTCTGATTGGTGGATTTAAGCTGTGTAATCAGTGCCACTGTCGTTGAATCCCTCCCCCACTTCTCTCCTCCACTCCCACCTCCCCTCGCTCTCTGAGGCAGTGTTCCAGAGAGGATATCTGCTGCTCGCAGAGAGGAGAGGATTAACTCAACCACTCATCTCATCTGCATATAGATGCTCAGACAGACAGACTGAGGGGCTACACACACACACACACACTATCACACTTAACTGCTTTTCTATTCCATTCCCCCTGTTCAGGACTTGATGCTCTTGTTTTAAGGACACTTTTCCCACTATTGGAGTTGAGCTCTTAGGGAAGTGGCTTGTTTTGTTTATGTTTGGCTCTCAGAACTCTCAGTACAGCAATGCAGGACTTTCTCAGCATGACTAGAAACCTGTGAGTGTCAGGGGCTTTTATTTTCATCTCTCTGTGTTAGAGAGGCAGTCGTTCTCACCGTGTTAAAACCGTTTAGCGTACGTGTGAGCATGCCGTCGCGGGAGTCCTACACTCTCAGTAAGGCTGAGAAGTCCCTAGTGCACAAGACCAAGCAGGAAGGGAAGGAGCAGGAGCTGCTCGCAGCAGCGCTGGCCATGAGGATGCGTCCTCAGAAACCTCCAGCTACCCTCTGGCAGCCTCTCAAACTGTTTGCTTATTCACAGCTCAGCTCGCTGGTGCGCCGGGCCACGCTGAAGGACAACGACCGCGTACCCAAGTATGAGAAAGTCCACAACTTTAAGGTAAGACCTTTTTGGTTTCTCTGCTATATTGACCTACTTCTACTGCATGTGTGCATGTGTCGAAGATGTTAATTCCTTTATTGTTTGTTATTCTTTTATGTTTATTGCTTTGTTTTTGGTTTTTTTTGTTTTGGTCCAAAACATGACTAGTATTGATTTATTTACATCTTAAATGAGATAATTGTAAAATCTGAGTTATCTAAATGCTACCTTTATAGTAACATGTACACAAAAAGCATGAACCGCTTGTGCAAATGTTTTTGAAAGGTGTGTGTGTTTGTGCTTTGCATTTTGGTCTGTCACGTTCAGTTTAGTACAGTAGAACAGAAAGGGAATAAAGAAGAACAGGACAGTTAAGATGTTCACTGAGTGCTTTTCAACAAGAAATGTCTTGTTTGTTTATATATTTGTGTGTGTGTGTGTGTGTGTGTGTATGTGGGAGACCCCATTGCTTCAGGGTGACAGATGGAAAGATTAGGGATTGATAGGCATCATGAGCAGAGCGGTGTATTCCCATTTGGCTTCTGTCAGCAGAAGTGGCCTCTCTCCCTGTCCACATTGTTTATTTCCTATTTCCTATGTATCCTATTTATTTCTTATATATTCTTTTTTTCTTTTCTTCCTGTTCCCCACCATCTTCCTGTGTTCCTTTGAAGCTTTCTTTCTTTCTTTCATTCTTGGTTTCTGCTTTTTCTTTTTTGTTTCTTTCTCTTTTTTGTGTATACTTTCTCTGTAGTCTCACTGTCCCTCGCTCTCTCTGTATCTCTCTGTCCCTCTGTTTCCCTCTCTGTCTCTAGTTCTCTCCTTTTCTCCTACTCTCTCTCCATTACCTTCTTTCTTTATCTCTCTTTCTCTCCCTCCATCTCTGTCCCTTTCTCCATCTCTCGCTCACTCTCCCTCACCTTCTCTCTTTCACTCTCTCTTTCTCTCTCTCCCTCCCTCCCTCACTCTGTTGCCCTCACTCTCTCTCCATCCGTCTCCCTCTCGCCATCTCTCTCCCTCCCTCTCTCTTTCCATCCCTCTCTCCATGTCTCTCTCCCTCTCTCACTCTCCCTGTCTGTCTCTTATTTATTACACTTTATTTTTTCCCATCTTACAGTGTGTGCTGTGTGTAATGTGACTCTAGAGGCTATGATATCACACAGACTCTGAAATTGCTGATTCTTTTTTTTCTCTGTGTGTCTGGTCCTTATCTCCTCAGTCTCAGAGCATCATTCGCACACTCACTCTGCTCTACTGCCCCTTTGGCTAGAACAGCAAAAGCTTGACAAGCAAATTTGGTTAAAATTACACAGACCAATATTTCATTGCTAAATGAATGAAACACAAATATTTTTATAGCAATGATCTTTATTAATAACGTGTATTCATGTCAAGTAGGTCCAGTAACTACAAAAAATATTTACTTCACGGTTCACACTTTAACAATTTACGTTCATTTTACCTCTGCTGGTGTGTGTATAAAAGAAGCAGTTCAGTTGTAGGACCCTGCTCAGCATTCATTGAGGCCAGGCTTCGATTCCAGCGGCCAGTCCCCCGCTCATGCTCCCTAGAGAGCGAGCATGAGGCCTCCTGATTGGATGAGCTGTTACCTGGTGCAGAGGGGAACGAGAGCTGTGATAGCTCTGCTTTCTGCCTCAGAGAGCCGTTCTTCCATGGTCCAACGACACACTCGCTCATGGCCCCTCTTTCTCTTATTCTGTCTGCTTCCCTTTGTTCTTTCCTCTTTCTTGTGTACACATCCTCTGTCCCTCTGTGTACTGATCTGCTGATTAATTGTCTGAGTAGATTGAAAAGGCCATTGGATTTGACATAGCTGTAGCAGCCCTCGTACCCAGATCACAGATAATCCTCCAATTCTGCTGTTGTAGATGAGTGTACCGTCCTAAAGAGCAAGGGAGCTTTGTGTGTGTGTGTGTGTGCACTGTTCATGGTGTTTTAACATCCCTGCTTTGTCTCTCTCTGCCCTGTAGGTACACACATTCAGAGGGCCGCACTGGTGCGAGTATTGTGCCAACTTTATGTGGGGGCTCATTGCTCAGGGGGTCAAATGCGCAGGTGAACACACACACACACACACACACACACACACACACACACACACACACACAAACACCAGTTGTAAAGCCATTTAAAAACAAGTTTAAACTGGTTTTCATATTTTTTATGTTGACAGTTTCATAGTGTACATTTACAGTTTGAGTGCAGTTAGATGATGACTGCCTGCACTTTTAATAACAGTTTAAAAAGTTAATGTGATTAAACAACACTATCACATCACTTCATGGTGTTAACACTGGTATTAAAAATCACACTTGTACTAATTGTACTGAATAGCAGAAATATTGTATTGTGCAGAAATTGCAGTTGAAAGCACAATAGTCAGTGTGCTTATGTTATCATGCGGGTTTCATTAAAGAAGATGCATTGTATTGTAGATTAATCATTTTTTTTGCCTAAAATGGCAGTTTAATAGTATTTAATACAATTCAGCCAATGAGTTAGGAATTTTATATACCTGTACATTACAGTTGATGTGTGATATTAATTAATGCTTTAATGTAGAATATATAACTCCCTCATCTCACTCTCATCTCCATCTGCTAAGAAACATAATTGAAGATTTCCCTCTCACTTAATGGATGTAGTGTTTATTCTTCAGTAGATGTAGTTGTAGTTCATACTCATAGGTCACAGTGTATAGTGTGTGAAGTGTGTAGTGTGTGAAGTGTGTAGTGTGTAGCCCTGTGTGTAAGGAATGAGAGTAATATACTTAATAATATCTTTACTCAAGGCTGTCAAGTCGTTCAAGCTAGTGTATGAATGCAGTGAGTGTTTTTTTTTCTTTCATATGTTTTTTTTCCATATGGAGTAGTTGACTAAAGTTTTGTCTGATATGAGATGTCTGTTATTAAAAAAAGTATCTATCATTTTACTATCTAATTATTACTGTGTAACATGCTACACATTTTCTTCTTTGAGCTGCAATTAATTGTTATAACTCTCTCTTTTTTAATCTATATTCAGTAATAGATTGTAGCTTTGCATTTTCCTGTTTACA